CCCCCGTGTCCTCGCCCACACTTAAACCACACCCAAAAAAGCCTATGAAAGGTACCAGGGGCATCTCATGGGGCCCCTTACTGACCCCGGGCCCTCGGGCAGTGCCCGAGTTTCCAAATGGTCAGTCTGCCCCTTATTCTGCCCACAATATGTCTGCCTCTATTAAATGTGGCAGTTGCAGGGCATACACCCTCGATAACTGGATTTTAATGAACGCTTCTTGCGAAACATCTACAGGGCTTAGCACCAATAAGAATCTCTTAACAAGATGACCGCTGCACAAAATTAGTTTTTTAAAGGTTCAGTAAAAACAACAACAAAAAAATCGATTATGTAAATGAACTTCTTGTAACATTCAAAACACATCTATAAATATTCTAGCTATTGGTAGACACAAGAACACTAAGCACTGAGGATATGGCTGTGATGTGAGGAGGAAGCCCTTTCTGTCTGAAACCTGTACAGTAACAAAACATTAGTTATATAGTGTACACAACTAATGTTAATTACAGATGGGTACATTCACTGTGAAATATTGTATACCTGCTGTCTAAATTCAGTGGCATCAGCCATTTTGTGCACATCAATTCACTATAACTATGAACTAATGACACCACTGAGGCACCATTCAAGTGAATTGCTAAGTATCATGCACTGTAATTGTTGAGTCCATATATATATATATATATATATATATATATATATATATATATATTTCTCTACAGTCAGTTGGCTGCAATAGCTAGTTCCACTTTGAGGGCATCTTTTAACGTAACATATTTTACAATCAAAGTCATGCTTAAAATAGAAATGAAGTATATACACTTCTCAAGGAATGAATATACTAATTTATATAGTTCAGATCAAAACCTCCCAGAAAACAGAACAAATGAACAGTATAAATATACTTAAGACCCCTGCCAGTTTAACTTTTCTTAACTGCTGTAACCATTAGATAGCCAGCTGTGAATCCTATAAAATACCTTTTCACAGTAGAGTTAGTGGCCCATTGTTTCTTATTATTCTACATTAACAAAATATCTTTCAAGCGATTGTCATCAAATACCATTTCACCCTGAGGCATACGAAAAATACATTTTACATTGCTGCATAGAAACCAGCTAAAAACTGTCCTTTTGACATCACCAATGTAGAAACGGATAAGCCCTAAAACTCAAAATAGAGGGCAATGTTTATTTGCCTCCAGAACTTTGCTGCAAACTTCTCCAGCAGGCTTCTTCTTTTATGACTTTACTGGAGATTTTTTTTTTTTAAATGTGTTAACAGACATGGCATTGGCAATAATGAGATCACTGGGGGAGCACTGTTGTGATTGATCTGCACAACAAGGCTCCGCAAGTAAATAGAATTGCATGTGCAAGGTTCTCTAAGTACTCTACTAAACACAAGATGATTTGTGTGTAGTAGTGTTCTCCTTTAAAAGAGGACCTATGGGCATATACATTTCTGGATAGCAAATGTGTGACAGCTAACATCATGAATTCTGTAGATAAAGAAACATTTTTGAATCTGATCTGGATTAGGAAATGTAATCACTTTGTCACTGATTTCCATTGTGAGTGATTGTGTCACTTCTGCCACGATTGCTTATGAGATGCTACTAAAATATATGAATATACAGTATCTGACAGTCCTACCAAAATTAATTTACAGTCAAAAATGTTTTTCAAAGGACAAATTTAGAGTATCATGTCTTACTGTATATGGTTTCCTAAAGCTCAACTCCATGAATTCAGCTACTTAATAAAAATGCATTTATACATTCGGCTAAGTCTTATATCTATTATTTACTTCTGAGAGGTTTATGAAGCCCCTGGCAGACAGGAGCTCAGACACTGGACTTTCTGTTCTCAGCTCTCTTCAGCTGCTACTTCTTCCCTCCTCCTGCCCAATTTCAGAAGCCTTTGTATTATGCAAACTCATTCACAAAATACAAAGGCTTCTGTGAATGGGAAGCAGAGGGGAGGGATGGGCAAAGTTGCTGTGTGTGCTTCTCTCCTTTCAGAGCACCAAGTGTCTCCTCCATACCATAAACCTGTCAAGTGTAAATAACAAAGATAAGTCCAGAAGGCGGCATGCACCTCATTAGACTTAACTCACAGTATGCCTGCACACTTTTCCAAGTGGCTGAATTCCTGAAATTCAGCTTTAAGCAAATGGTTTATAGTGACTGTGTTGCAAGGTTTCTTACCTTGAGATCCTGCCAGTAACAGCACTTCCTGTTGTCACCCTGCCATGACCACTCCTTCACTTGGCCTTTCTGCCTCTATGACAGACCTGATAGGCAGCCCAAATGTCAACTGAAGAAGCACAGGCAGTGGGTCAACATTGTCGGCCTGCAGTAGGTGCTGTTACTGGCAGGATCTCCAAGTAAGCAACCTTGCGACAGTCACAAAAAATGGTTGATCAAGAAAACCATATATAGTGGCACTTGATGCCAAATACACTGAGAAATAGATTAAAGGTTTACATATACTATAATGTGTATATAGCCAGTAATGTCAGACAGGCAATCTTAAAGGCAGTGCTGAACATTTTTGTATCAGTTGGAATACCATTTAGCTGTATGTAAAACTGTTTGTCCGACTTTGCCCTTAATCCCACAATTATAGCTCACAGTATATCACCAGTAGTGAAATAGCAGCAGCCTATGGAAGTAGTACATGTAGGATATATTACAACAATATACTTTGCATTGTTCCAGAAGCAGCAGAATGTTCAGTCACCGGATTATAGACACTATATGAACAATACATACAATTCATGCAATGAACTGATGAAATGTGTAACTTTTATCCAGCCACATCAAGCTGTGTCCTTAGCCAATGCCCAATCTAACACAAACATTAGATTGGGCATTTTTAAATGTTTTAAATTTGCCCCTAACCACATAGCATGTTCTTTTTTTCCCTATATACATCAGGCTTCTGGACAATAAAAATAAGAACATATTAATTATACAAGCACTCAAGTATCAAATATCTCAAGTGCTGCAAAGACGTGCAAACTTTTACATATATATCTGTGAATATTATTAGATGTCCAAGGTAGGCGTACTGCCTGTGTAGTTTGTACTGCCACAGAGCCTCACTAGGTGAGAGGCCAAGTGAGGTGATCATCATGGAAGCGTAGGAGTGCTCTACTGTGATATTTGGGGGTCATTGGGGAAGTATGGAAGTGCTCCACCCTGGTTCTTATGGGATCATCTGGTATGTATAGAAATTGTCCAGCCTGGTCCTCAGGTGGTCATCAGGAAAGCATGTGAGGGTTCCACCCTGGTTCTCAGGGGATCATCAGGAAGAATGGGTGTGCACCACTGGGGTGCTTAGAGAATCAAAAGGGAAGTTCCTCAAGGATCATCAGGGAAGAACGGAAGAGCTCCACTGTGGTACTCAGGGGATAACTGCATAAGTATGGACGTGCTCCATTCTAGTCCTCAGATGATCATCAGGGAAATATAGGAGTCTTCCACCTTGCTGCTTAGGAAATCATCAGGGAAGTATGAGAATCGCATTACTGTGGTCTTCAGGGGATCATGGGTGAAGTATGGATATAATCCAACTTATTCCTCAGGGGAGAAATAAGTTGGAGAAGTGCTCCACTGAGCACTTCAGGAGTGCTCCTCCCTGGTCCACAGACATTCATCAAGAAAGTAAGGGAGTGCTCCACTGGAATCCTCCACTACTCCGCAGATCAACTGTTTAATTAGGCTTTCCCTGGCAAGCACAATTCTCAGCCAATGTAAACTATTTTCTACCAGTTTTTGATTGCAATCTACTGCTTTTAACAGCTTCTATTAACACTATGAAATGATTTAAAGCTCTGGTAGCAATATTCCTGAATCCGTTTTGTTTTCTTTGCAATAGAAATCTTGTTGAAAATGGTTGAAATTGCCTGAACATTAGTGTGTGTGTGTGTGTGTGTGTGTGTGTCCATCCAACTTTTAATCAAAAACATTTCTTGATTTAAAGCAAACAAGAAATATAGAGATAACATTTTTTTCCCACAATTGGTGACATTAGAGAAAAGACACTAATATCAGGAACAAAGTGGTAGGTTGTGGACAGCAACAGAAGTAAGACAGGCAGTTGACATGGGCTTGCTGGTACAATGCAAGCCTTTAATGAGCTCCAACCAGGCATTTCCTTAGGGCAGTAGTTATAGACACTTATGGCTTGCCTCTAGTATTTCTTTGACAGAGTTTCTCTGCAGTATTTGTCCATTACACTTATTATTAGAGGCAATGCACATGTGGTGGCCCTCTAAAACAGCTACAGCTGTAGCTAAATTACAATATTCATTGTTCCTGAAAGAACATTCACAAATGCATATGAAAACATTTTAGGCTTTGCAAGAACTGAAGTTTTCAGTGGAGGATTTTTTTTTCTATACGTATGCCAAAACAGCACAGAGTGCGGCGAGCCTCTCCTCTATTTTTGGAAGAGCATAGAAGACAAATTAGGCATGCAGTTTCACAATATCTACATTTCATTTTGTAAAAACATTTGTGAATGTTACAAGATGACACATCATATGGGATCACTTTAAATTGAGTTCCACAGTGACTGAACGACTCCTGCTTCACAGTAAAATTTAAAGACCTGGTGTAGTTCTTCAATGACAGGAGGTAATCTGTGAGATTAAACCACACCACCCCCTATAGCTGTACAGTGAAAAGCAGGAACATTTCATTCAGTGCCCATTAACTCCCATTAACAGGCAAGGATTCATCATTTAGTAGTCTTTGTCTGCTTTGGTGTGCAGGCTTTTATTCCCAGTGCTTCCAAACTTTTGATCCCCTGCTAGGTGAGCGAAGGGTTGTGTATGTGTTGATGTTGGATGTGAGAAATGAGAAATGAAGGATGTGTAGGTTTGGGAGGTGTGGCTCAGTCTATTCACATATTATGTATTATATTTATAGATAATATTTATATAAATATTTCCTTTATATACAGTCAGGAGGTATCTTTACTCTGGAATCATGAAGTCGTTGCAGTCAGCGAATGGTCAAGTTCAGCGCTATCGCAATCTGAATCATCAAACAGAACGACATTCTGTGGACACAAAGAAAAATAACCATTTGCAACAGGAATGTATATTTCATTCATATTAAACTTAATCTATAAAAGAAGATGCTTAAAACCAGGGGCGGACTGACAACTCATGGGGCCCCCGGGCAATAGGGGATCATGGGGCTCCTGTGTCCTTGCCCACACTCAAAAAAGCCTATAAAAAAGGTACCAGGGGCATTTCATGGGGCCCCCTACTGACCCCGGGCCCTCGGGCAGTGCCCGAGTGCTCGAATGGTCAGTCCGCCCCTGCTTACAGCTCAACTAGACCTGACTTTCAAGTTCTGTGGAGTTGACATATTAGGTATTTACAGAATATACAGACCTATTCACATCTGTCCTTGCCTCACTACAGCCTAAAATCAAATTTCCTTACTGTAATCATATTAGTACACACTCTAGAAGTGAAAGTGAGAGAAAACAAAGTACATGAGTACGGGAAAAACATAAATTACACAAGCATTTTTCAACCTCTTTACCTTTGAGGTACCCATGAAATTACTTTAGCCAGCTTGTAAAATATGCTAAATTTTGGTTGACTTTTACAGAAATTTTATTGGTCAAATAAGACGATTTAATAAAAAAAAACTGGATGAGGTTGCATTAAACCACGGGTGTCCAACAAATCATAAAGTTACTTACCTTCTGCCTGAATGCACTATAGCCAAAATACAGTATCACCGCACTCATCTAGTTTCAAGAGGGCGTCCATGGACGTCCTTCCAGAACCACACCCCCCATGAAGCATTTAAAGACATTCATACTCACCTTCATGCTGCAGCATTGCTGTGATGCTGCAGCTGTCCCACACCAACTCTAAGCCCAAGAACTGAGCAATCACATGAGAGGCTGAGCCAGGTGCCAGTCAGGCATCTGGTTGGATCTCAACATTATTTCTGGGATCCTTCCAGAGCCTGGAAACACAAGCTGACAGCAGACTTTAGTCCAATGTTGACTGATTCTAGATGTTTACTTACTTGTGCTCTCCTGTGACCCACAAGAGAAGTATACGTCTCTTTTAATGAGCGTGATTATTCTGCTATAAACTTCTGACCACCAACACTGAACAACCACCTTTATGTGTGCAATAAGCCCTTGGCTGTCAATGTTAAAGAGGCAGGATGTGGTTTCATTTTTTTTTTTTCAGTGGGGAGTAGAAACAAGCTGTACACAGTTCTCTTACTATCCTGTAGCCAATAAAAGCACCAGCCTTGGTGCAGATGAGCTGTAATCAGGGGCGGACAGACAACTCATGGGGCCCCCAGGCAATAGGGGATCATGGGCCCCCTGTGTCCTTGCCCACAATCAAAGCACACCCAAAAAAAAGCCTATAAAAGGTACCAGGGGCATTTCATGGGGCCCCCTACTGACCCCGGGCCCTTTGGCAGTGTCTGAGTGCTCAAATGGTCAGTCCGCCCCTGGCTGTAATTCAACTCTTTTCAGTTAACAGGTTCCCTGTCAACACATGTAGAGGGCAGTAGAGCCTTACTGGTTCCTAGTGCTGGCCCTCCCTCTACCAGTCACAAATCCCAGCCATGTAGGGGATTACAGGAGGCTACAAACAACATGAAATCCAGTACTTACATCCATTTTACATAACGGCATTAACCAACTTTTTATATCTACATGAAATGCAGATTTATGGTTCTGGATAATTTCACCATATTGTTTTCCTATAGCTCACCTCTGCTGCTGTTTGTTCATTGCTAAGCTGTGTCTTCACCTTCTGCACTGCCGCTTCTTTTTCAGACAGGCCATCAGACTGGGTTAGGAGATCCAATGGTGGCTCTGAGCTTTGGGATGCAAGGTCTTCTGAGCGCTCATCTGGACGTTCATCTGTGTTGGTGCTGAGCACATCAGGGGTGACACTGTGAGAGAGGTCTGTAGTGTTCCCTTCTTCCCCATCTGATAGGTTTTCTGAACTTGGAGACTGATGCTGGGACATCCCCGCTTGCCACCTGCACAACACCATGGAACAATCTGTATGCTAAACTGAGCAGGACATTTTAGGTTTTTCAAAGCATTCACCATTTTTCTGAACAACAACTAGGAAAACATAGCCTGTTTAAGGATGAAGTTAGCCAAGCAACAATCTAAAAGAAGATTTGCACGTGAAATCTCTTCTTCCTTGACACATCACATCTAATCAGACCTGGAATAGCTTCAGTCCTTATAATGTATATAGTTGAAGCCTGTCATGCTCTGTGTACTCATGATGCAATAGAGGGTGCAGGTATAACAGTCGCCAGGTCCTGGGACGTGTAATACCTGTGTCCCTATTTCAAGGTAGGCAGAATATAATTTTTTTATGTTTATTGATTCTGAAAGTGCATTATATGAAAACAGCAGTCTGCTTTTTTCAATAATATGGAACGTGTGTGTATTGTGTATACACATGGAGCCTGTGCTTATTGTACTTGTTGTATTGTACTTGTACTTGGTAATGCAGCAATGAGTTACTGGTTCCCTTATTTTAAAGCAAGTCTGTTGGTTAGATGAGAAACCTGAAGATGTATTGATTGAGGTGCATTTTTTGACAGTCATTATGTAAAGAGTCTATAAATCTGTATATGACATAGGGTGCTGAAATTATGGCACAATGGGGTTTATTTAAAAAAGGCAAATAGAATGTGCACTTTGCAAGTGCAGTTGCTACAGAGCTTAGTAAATGATGTTAAGCTTCACTTTGCAAAGAATACCCAATCACATGCAAAGAAAAAAAAACAGCATTTTTGCTTGCATATGATTGGATGATGGAAGTCAACAGGGCCTCTCCTCATTTACTAAGGCCTGGAGAAACTGCAATTGCAAGGAGCACAGTCTATTAGCCTTTAGAAAATCAACCCAAATAAGTATGTAAAATGTGTCCTATTATATTGCAAGACTTTAGATTAATGCCATGTTTTCCTTCAGAGAAGAGCAGGGAGAAATGGGAACCTCTGACTGATTTTTCCTACCTTCTAAGTCCATGCACACTTACCTCTGTTTCCTCTCCATCTCCAGCTCACTGTCCACCTCTCCTTCTTCCTCTTCAGAGGACACACCTCGCTTCTGACAGACAAACAAAGAAATGACTGAGAATTACCATGTTTTCTACAGACATTGGTATAAGGTTTTATACACATAATCATCAAATGAAAAGGCCTTTCATTTGTCCCTCATGCCCACTTACTGCTCCTCTAATGTTGGGCCTTTGAGGAGGTACACATAGTAATGGTATCTAAAGCATAATATAGGAGTTGGCACTATGGTGCCAATTGTAATGATGGTATCCATCTGTAGGATCTTTCAAGAGAATAATTAAAGGAGAGTAATGAACAGAGAGATTGTGTATGTAATTTGAAAATGCAAAAGCACTCTGCATCCACTGCTCTTTTCTATGAGATTTTGCCTATGTTGTACAAAACTGCACACTAAACCTCTATTTTATAACCTACACTTTGAAATCTTACATTGAGACAACTTCAGGACTCTCCACTTATCCACACAGACCCAAACAATATACACCCAAGCACTCCCACATCCCAGTAAATGCCTACCCTCTCTCAGCCACTTATTTAAGGGTCTGCGAACTGCAACATTCCCAAACAAGACCTCATATTATGGAACTGCTTTAAATATACATACCTGGCTTCTGGTTACAGCAGCTCTGTACAGCATTGCTGCGGGTGTCAGATGTTGTCCACCTCTAGCTGCTCTGCCCCCAGTGGTTCTTCCTGAGGGGGAGTCAGGGCTTGGTGGTCCAGGTAGTGAACGGACTGGAGAACATTCTGCACTCTGACTGCCTCTACGAGCCTCTGCTTCTAAAGGAGTACAAAGCAGATCGGGGCTGGAAGAAGATAAGGGGTGTGGGTCACGAGGGGGTGGCTGGCTCTGTGGCGTTGGCTCAGGAGTCACTGCTGCCCTCAGGTTGACTACATCTTTTGCTTTCCGATAGCGAGGCTTTCCCCGACGACCACGTCCTGGAGAAGGTGGCAGTTTCTGGCAACCAGATGGTGTTGAGGGGGACAAGACAGAGTCTTTAGACACTTCAGATTTCAAAATATCTGGCCTGGACATAAAAAAAAAATAATATTGTTTTAATCCAACAAACATTGTCAATGGACAGCAAACATATATATGGTTTTGACTGAACTGGAAAATTTCAGCTGACTTGCTCAAGCCACCACTGCCGAAGGGAATGTTACCTGACCTTACAGGATAATTTTGGCTGGTATCTCATTGTTCTTGCATGTTATTAAAGTGGTAAGGGCAGACATGATGTAGTGAACAATCTAAGCACTGTGAGACTGACAATATTTGCTGAAGAGTTTTGGTTGGCAATAGATAAAACATACAAATACAACTCCTTGCTGATGTTTGAAATGACTGGTGGACTAGAAATCCAATTACAAAATATATATTTCAGTATGGTTTACACTGCTTGTGGTATTCTGCAATTAGTAACACAATCAGAAAGCATATTCATGCTTTCAAAAAAGGTGTTTTTCACATCTGCTGCATTGTGGGTTATTGTAAAAAAAAATCAAACATATTCACTTTTGGATATGCTACCCTGTGTGTCCTACAGAACTGCAATATGGTTTCTAGAGTTGCTGCATAAGCTTTTGTGTGAACAAATCTTTATTATTATTATTTTAATTCACTGAACTTTCAGGTTGTGCAACAATACTAGATTTTGTCACCAGCTGGCATTACAGGGAAAATCTTTAAATGCATATCTTTATCTAAATAAAATGGAATACCCGAGAGAAGGAAGAGATCACACACAAAATAATGGAATTCCAGTTTTCTGTCGCCCGGGCCCAGCCCATTGGGTCACACTGCTGGGCCCGGGAGCTGTGTTGCTATTATCCTGCCCCTTGCCTTCCCCGCCTCCTGACCCCTCTCATTTCTAGTCTTTTTTAGTCTCTAGTACTAGGTTCCCCCCTTTTTTTTCTTTATTTTTCTTTTCGTTCCAAACTTCTATATCACTTTTTTTTTTTTTTAGTTCTTTATATTGTATTGTACAGAGGGAGGTACCTTTTCAGTGTTTTCTATATCTCATTCAGGGATAGCTCCCTGAGAATTATCTTCTAGATATTTCTGTACCAATTGCTACTTGATCCGTTAATTTATCCAATGAGTATAATTATACGCAACTATTCCCCTGGGTCATCTCCTTGCTCAAGATTTAGTTGTGTTTATTTGTATATATCACCTATATTTCTCTGTTCTGTTCTGGAAAATTGCCACAAAAAACGGTAATAAAGACAAATTTGCCTTTAAGTCCCCTTACTATACCATACACACCACTGAGCCCTCTGAAAATAGAGCCAGGCCCAAGCATTGTCACATTCGGGCCTCCCAAAGTTTATGCAAATAATGACTTTTATAAAGTGGTATGTGCATAGGAGTTTCAAAGGGGTTCCAATGATGCTATCAGAAAATTATCCCAACTACAAAGGTAAGATCTGAAAACTTATGTGGCTACTATCCAGCATTTAGCTCAGCTATACTGTTTTGTTTCCAAGGCAGGATTACTTTCCAGGAAAAAGATGTCCCTTGTTTTTGGTAGATGCATTTCAGTCCATCAATCACTTCAACTAACTGCAAGTAAGGGGAGGGGGTTTCAGTTGCTTGGATGCTGTGGAAGGTAGACACTAACATATATTAATACCCAATCATTCACAGAACTCCAGCATTCCACGGAAACCCTTTTAATTACTCTCATGACAAGAATCATGTCACATATAAGCATGACTTGTGGGATGACTGACCTTTTTCCATGTGGCGATAATTTCTGGGGTACATTTCTTTTCTTGATTAGTTTTTCCACAGTGCTTGATGGCCGGGGTTGCTGTCGCAGAATGGCTGGGTATTTTTTCTCCAGGTTCTGTTCTCTCCTGTAAATATCAGAGGCATTTCACTAGACATACAATACAATAAACTCCAACAAAATCTCTTGGGAGCATAACCAGCTTTCCATTGGTTTAATTTTCTACTATACTCTTTAGCACTACAGAATAATCTGGCATTTATTACATATAATAATATTAGTAACAATATTTAAAAAGCTATGTTATTAACATAGGACTTAACACTTTATTTTTTTCTGGAAACAATCTTCAATCTAATATCCCCAAACTACAATTTTTACATTACAAACCAAGAGTTTTAATTTGGAACTGAATATTTGAATATTATAGGATATATCTGGATTGGGACACCAAGCTTTAGAGGGAAATGGATGCTAAATAAATTGAGCTGTAAGCCAAGGAGTTGCTGAGACTATTGGACTATTAACATCCAGATAATATATCCATGAAAGGACAAAAACCAGAATCTTGTGTCTCAGACCCTGGTACTGCTTTCCAAATGTCTAACTGTACAAATGCCATATAAAATACACACCAACCTGATGTGTGTTTGAACAATGCATCCTTAGTTGCAGCTACAGTTTAAAGTGGTTCTAAAGGCTGAAGTTTTTTACCTTCCTGCATTCTCGGCATGAAGGTAAAAAACTTCTGTATCCAGCTCCCCCCAAATCCCTCGTTATACTTACCTGGGCTACCAGAGAAGATGAGGGGCTGCTCTATGCAAAACCATTGCACAGAGCAGGTAAGTGTGATGTTTGTTATTTTTGTAAACAAATTTTTTACCTTTAGAAACACTTTAAGGACCTGTTGGTCTCAAATATTGGAGTCTAATGTGTTTTTATTGAGGCTGTTTGTATCATAAAGTATTGGATTGGAGCTCTGAGAGGCAAGATGCTGGTCAACATGCTTGTAAAGATCTAAGGTGTATTGAGAACTGATTATCTTAAAAAAAACTGCTTCACATATATTGTGAAGTACAGGAAGAAAAGAACATGCTGTTGGGATGAGGGAACAGTCTGCTGGACTCAGTCTAAAACGGTGTCTTCCCTGTTCAACCACAGGCTGGGAGCAGGGAAGTGACTAAGCTGTCTTGCATTACTGCGGTACAGAAAAGCCAATTTTTCTAAAAAAAAAAAAAAAAAAAAAAATCCAACTTTAAAATTGTTAATAACAGATGCTGTGATGTTTTATGGTGGCTCATACACTCAAGGTCAGACTGGTAGTTTGTTTCCCCCTCTCCCTACCCCCTAGGAACAAACTGAGGGAATCTGCTTGCATGTGAAGCTCACGGTATCTCCTGATCCTGCCAAGACTGACCAAATTGACCACAATAATCCAGTGTCTATTGCTACCTGATAAATGTGTTTGAGATTTTCCCTATTTAAAATGTTGAGCTGAATTCTGTCATTTGCTGTGTATGTTATTAGTATTATTATGCATTTGTTTTTTTCCCAGTTGATTTTTGTGATTTTGTATTGCTTTTTGGCTTTCAAGGTGTATTGTGCTTTATAAACATCTCTTAGAGCAATACTGTTTCATAAATGTATCTTAGCCTTTGATGTGTCGAACAGATACCCATTCATCAAGCAAAATTGTCCAATGAAACTTGCAATATGTCATAACTTTGTCAAATATAATTGTGTTTCCAAAGAAATTCAAATAGCTCTTTACCAACCTGAGAAGCTCTTTCTCCTTTAGCTCCAGCTGAAGCATGAGAGAATTCAGTTCCACATACAGTGTATTTGCCCTCTGTAACTTGCGTTCATAGTGTTCTCGAATATCCAGAGCATGCCTTGACAGAAAAAATAAACGTGATCTACATTAAGATGCATATCAATGTAAAGTATATCTAAAGTGAAAATCATTTTTATTTCTTGTAGTGTAGGCAATGGTTATGCCACTGTCAGTTTTTCTTTCTTTCTTTTTTTTTTTTAGCTAACTATGGTGTCTGTTTATGACACAGAGAATAGCTGCGATTCCCAGAGCTGGAGAATCAGAGGGACCGAAAACTAAGCAGAGATAGTAAAATCAGCCGTTTTCCAGAGTTTGTAGACCGTTCTCCAGCGTTTGGAGACCGTTCTCCCTTCGTTCAGAGAACTGCTTCATAAACTGCATTCACAGGAGAACTGCGTTCTCAGAGAATGCCGGAGAACTGAGCAGCGATCTATTACCGCTGGTTCATAAACGGACACCTGTGTCCCAATGGAAAGATTTCCCTTCACTTCTTGTACTGTAGACACAGAAGGAAGTGAGTAAAAATCTGTTGGAAGTGTCCATTTATTCTGTGCAACAACTAATTCAATATTCAGTAGAGATATATTCTTCAACCAGTAGATGGCAGTGCATATACGTTCGGTAGCTGCATCTATGGTTAAACATTATGTATTTTCTCTACAATAAAGTTCCTGTTTCCTGTTAGCAGAGAAGCAGCAGATAAACATATGTGGACTGTGCACTGTCTGTTCTGTAGAGCTATATACAGACTCGCTAACAAAATCAATTGTCACCAGAACAAGTGTCTGCCTGGAATTTTTACAACTGTTCCCAGTCCTGGTGATCATTCGAAAAATTAGCATTTCCCATCACTTTTTGTACTAGAGACAATAATCACCAGGAGAAATAGATAAGGTATATCTCCCCAGGACACAGACAGTAATAAAAAATATGACAGGGGTTCTAACCCATTACCACTCTACAAAAAAAAATTATTTTGGAAAACACTAACTTTATTAGAGAATATAACCATTGTTGTTGAGCACATAGAGAGACCTGTTAGTCACAAGAGGCATACAAAGGCATCCTGTGGATGTGCTTTAGAGACTCTGGAGCTGAGGACTTTACTACCTTTTATATCTTTATTTTTCAGTTGTTTACAGTATATAGAGGCCTACATCCTGCATCCAAGGAGGAAGAGGAAAGATGTAGGGTGTTGGGGGTGAAGAGAGACAGAGAGGTGGTATATCCAGCGGTCAAACCCTCAGGCTCTATGCACACTACCGTTTTTTTAAGCTTCTAGAAGCTATTATGAGCATTTTTTCTGCTCCTAGAAGCTAATAGTGGTATCCTATGTGTTCATGCACACTATTTTATGCTAGAAGCATTTTTCAACCTTCAGCATTTAGGAGCAGAAAAAAAATTGTTTTTGTAGAGTTTCCTGGCAGAAAGAAAATGCTGAACACTCCTAAAAGCTACTAAAACACTCCTAACAGCTTTTTGTCGAGCATTTTTTTTCTTCATGTGCTGTAAAAATGTTAATATAACACTAATGCTCCTAAACACTACTAAAATGCTGCAAGCCAGTGGTTTTTTTTAGCCTTTTTTAACTTATAAAAAAATGCTAGTGTGCATGGAGCCTATAGTAGGAGTGGTCCAAATATTGTGTACACCAGAAGATCTCTATCTCTCCTCAATTTGAGGATTCCCATTGGGGGTGCTTTTACTATATCACACTAATATTTGAGCCATTCAAAAATGTTGCTGCTAGATGAAAAAATGTGAACACCTACAATAGCATTTCTATTGCAAGTGATCATAATAAGTTTCTACACCCAATTCTGCCACTTCTTTCTTTTATATCTCTGGTTGTAGATAGGATCCCCTGCCATGAAGTTTTATACTGGCTATACATATGGCAACTTGTAGGCAAGGCTGTCAGAATCCTAGTCTGAGTGATCCTGCCAGAAAGCTGTCACTATGCCGAGCCAACCATAATTGGCTGAGACATTCCCTGGCCCGCAGCTGCACAAATATATGCCCTTTGTATATGTGCAGGGGGGAGAATACCTTGGCTGATTATGATCAGCACAATACAGAAGACAGCTTCCTGGTAAGATTGCTCAGGTGGGTCCGAACTAGGATCTCATTGGAGTCTCATCCTTACTGCCAGGCAATGCAGTCAGCTCAACCAGTTTTTCATCACATAAAATTATCCAATCGATCAAGGTAATCCCCTAACAACTGTTTACATTAAAGCCCTGAAAGTGGGCTCCTTTTGAGGTGGCAGGAAAGCAGCATATATGCAGACCCTGCTAGAATCCCTGGAACATAGAAGAAGATGGTGGGTGGTCTAACCAGGTACTGTGAATCAAAACTGAAATATGTTTTGGATGGACTGACTTTTTAAATGTGAAAAGCTGACAAACAACCAGTTAGTTGTTTTTATTTGCATTTAGTATGTGTGTCAAAAATGTAAAATTTGGAGTGGCAATAAAAAGTTTAAACAATTAAGGTCTGAGTGAGTGAACAGTGTTAGAGGGAGAAGCTTAGGTAGGTTGTATGTGGACTCTTAAATCACTAAAGGTCTCCATTTTTTGTTTTCATGGTATGTCATTATGTTTGTTGTGAACCATGATGACATCTGGCACCTGGAGCAGGGGAAATGGAGTTTATAGGAGGTTGGGAGCAAAGCTGCTGGTCAGGGGTGGACTGACAACTCATGGGGCCCCCGGGCAATAGGGGATCATGGTGCCCCTGTGTCCTTGCCCAAACTCAAAAAAGCCTATGAAAAAGGTACCAGGGGCATCTCATGGGGCCCCCTACTGACCCCGGGCCCTCGGGCAGTGCCAGAGTTTCCAAATGGTCAATCCGCCCCTGCTGCTGGTTATACTGTACAGTGTGGCAGTATGAAACTACTTTTTTCATCAGTGCAGCAAGAAACAGAATCCAAAACAAGTCACTGGCAGATTTTATTGGGACTCCTTAGATTGCTGGATCATATTCTAGAGTGTAGCCTCTATGGTATGTTGTTGAGTATGGAGACAAACCATGGTGAAAGCTGGCACCTGGAACAGAGGAAACTGAATTTATAGGAAGCCTGGAGAAAATCTGCTGGTTACACTGTAGTACATGGTGGTATAGATATGTATTTTGGCAGATTAATATATTTTATTGTTTGCTATACTCAACAAGATATTTTACCTTCAGCAAAGTTTTCATATATGTATTATGGCCTGTGTCATTTACACCATATTTCCAAAACATTTTTCTCATGTAGACCCATGAGGCTGATTTCATACATCAGGAACAGCAGACTAAATCTCACTTGTCAGATTATGTTCCTTTTCCATTTGTCATGGAACAAAAACATGATGTAATGAGGGAAACTGCTGAGAAATCAAGATTTACCCTGTCAAGTGAGAAGTAATTAGCTGTCTTACATTCTTATACTAAACCGCACCTGAGTTCCTCGCGGCGACGTGTTATCAATTCCTCTTCCAGGCGCTGTAAACATGTCCCCTCTGACTTAATTTTCTCAAAGTGTAGTCGCACTTCATCCCGCCATTCTGCCTGTAAATCAAGAAGTATGAAATTAGAATTGAAAGTAAAGACATATTTGAGGTTTATTTACTAAAGCTGGAGAGTGCAAAATCAGGCTCACCTCTGCATAGATACCAGGTTCTGGTTTTATTGCCAAATCTTAATTGAACAAGCGGAGGTTAGAAATTGATTGGTTTCCATGCAGAAGCGAGCCTGATTTTGCACTCTCCAGCTTTATTAAATAAACCCAATTATATCCTGTACACATGCAAACTTTGGAACTTTACAAACCTAACACTGGACAGCTTCAGAATAAAGATGCAACAGCTGTTTTGCATTAGTGTTCTACCTTGGGTGAGAGTACTGATGGTGCAAAGGGTACAATACTCCATGTACAGTATATCCTTTGAACACTGTGTGGCACTGGGCCCTCTGGGACTTAGGGGCCCAATTATAACACATGTGGGCAGACTGAGAACTCATGGGGCCCCCGGGCAGTAGGGGATCATGGGGCCCGTGTCCTCGCCCACAGTCAAACCACACACAGAAAAGCCTATGAAAGTTACCAGGGGCATCTCATGGGGCCCCCTACTGACCCCGGGCCCTTGGGCAGTGCCCGAGTGCTCGAATGGTCAGTCCGCCCCTGCATGTGGGTCATATGGGTGTTGGCACACCTTCCACTGTCACGCAGACCAAGGCTCTTCTATCTGCCAATCAGTATAAGTGTTTACTTGTACTGTAGAGTAATAGGGGGCCTATACATTGGTCTTGCACAGGGGCCCTTTGATGACTCTGTCTGCCACTATCCCGAGTACATGAGGTTAAAGGACCCAGCCATGGCAGCTTTTTTTTCTTTATACATATACATTGTGTACAGATTACAGCAGCATTTATTTTCAACTCTCATTCCTATTTTCAGTTCTTTCATCCACTGCTAGAGCCTCTACAAAGCTAGATTTACACAGGTTTCTATGGATATGGATTGTCATGCTTTTCCTGCCTTTACTATCTTTAAAGCCACAGACATGGAAGTGGATGGAACCAGACTTCACTAGCTGCATGCTTGCTTCATATCAGTAACTCGCTAGCAAAGAAATCAAGATCAGGATGACAGCACCAGATCCTGCACATTTTTAAAAAAAAAATCTGTATTCTCAAAGGTACCCTTTTATAAGAGTGCTGCTGAAACCTGCTACATGTTTATTTAAGACCTTGTGAATACGGTCTAAAGCATGTGAAAAAACAATGTGTGTAGCTTTTACAAAGCCTTCAGCTTTGCTGAATCATTTATTATCATGTATTGTCTCCTGTTATATTGTAAAGCGCTGAGCAAACTGTTGGCGCTATATAAATCCTGTATAATAATAATTTAAAGCAGACTTCAGTTCCAGAAAAGAGCTGTTAAACATACATTGTTTTCTGTATGTCCTTGCCAATACCTGCAATTCTCAGCAGCAAAAAACACAAGTCTCCACAAAAGGCAAACAGAAAACAATTGTTTTCTATGTGCCCTGATCACACTTGAACGCAGGCTTCAGGTGAGCTGCAGTACAGTGCAGAAGTCTGCTACAAGTCAGTGTTTTTCCATCCCGCAACCACAGATCAACCACAGCTCCAATTCTCTCTGCATTTCTATGCATTGTTACTGAGCTGTGGTGCATAGAAATTAATGAAATGTCACACTGCAACATTTCAGTAAATGGAAAAAAAAAAGAAATGGTAAATTTTACTGTACAATAATTGTGAGTAATCCCTTACTGAAGCCTGCTAACTTTCCCAAACTGAAGCTGAAGGGTGCTTCAAAGGCTTTAGATAAAATACTGGACGTTGGCTGGAAACTTTGCAAATTCATAGTAGAGGCTTGCTGTACACTCCTCCTATACAGGCTGAAGCCTTGATGTAGCTCAAAACATAACCTCCTGCACTCAGGTGTGGTGCTAAAGGATAGAATAGACTCTCCTCTTGGCTGAGCCAGCCGTTTATGGACTCTAAGAGGTCTTCCCATGTTACCAGCTGAATACGGTGGATGTGGAGGTGGTCTTGTCTGTATCTTTAGATATGCTGGTGTATGACATGCGTATCTGAGTACCCAATTGCTTTATACTCTTTTTATACAAATTATAATGTGGTAATGCACTAGGTTGGTGCGCCTTCTCTTTTGTTGTTTTGAAGCCTTAATGTACCAGGCCTAGGGATAGCCACATCACTTTCAATAAGAGCTTAGAATAGTAGACGTTGTTGTATGAGATATGACAGTGACCCAGTTTAAACCGTGCATCAAGGACCATAGATCCTAGGTATTCCTCTGTCGCTAGATTATCTCCTCCCTTCTTTTCCTGGCCATGGCTATCCCCTATCCTCTACCCATTTCACTCACCTATTCCCAGTTACACACTTTATAGGCTCAATTCACTAATCTATAATGTACATGCTATTAATATGACTCTCTCGTCACATTAAAAAAAAAAAAAGGTCCTTGTAAAAGAAGAGGACTATACTTGTCTGTTCCCTCCACCCACCCATGCCTCTGATCTCTGCTCTCTTTGCTACACCATTCACACTTTGGGGTGTTTGGGATGCCTGTTCCCCCTTTGCACACTGTGCTTCTGTCCTCCAGTCCCTACTGTACTGGACACACTAGTGATGTAGTGGCTGGCAGGATCTAAGAACTAACACAGTGCTGACCCAGTACCGTTACTTTGTAATGAACAGCTACTTTGTCCTTCTTAAAAAACAACAAAAGCTGTTTTTTTTAAAATTGCTTTTTGTTGATAAAGCTGTAATTCTTAACCACTTCAATACCAGGCACTTATACCCCCTTCCTGCCCAGGCCAATTTTCAGCTTTCAGCACTGTCGCACTTTGAATGACAATTGCGCGGTCATGCAACACTGTACCTATATTCTTTTTGTTTTTCACACAAATAGAGCTTTCTTTTGGTGGTATTTAATCACCACTGAGTTTTTTTTTATTGTTTTCTAAATAAAACAAAAAACACCTGAAACTTCTGAAAAAAAAAAAACCACTTTTCTTTGTTTCTGTTATAAAATTTTGCAAACAAATAACATTTCTTCATAAATTTAGGTCAAAATGTATCTGCTACATTTCTTTGGTGAAAATAATAATAATAATAATTGAATTTGTATATTTATTTTCAAATGTTTCTATTATTTTTTTTATTTTCTATTACATTTTTTCTTTTTTTATAATTTTATTTTTCAGCACACTGTGACCAAAGCAATACAATGTTACTATAGTAACATTGAACTACTCTGGGCAAGTGATCAGGATTTTTTTTTTAATTGAACACATTACGATTGGTAATACCAATGTATTTCATTGATGTTTGCAATCATTGTTACTGAATGAAACTGATTAATTCAGTCTTTTGTTGTGATTAGCTGTAATTGGGCAAAGCTGATCACATGATACAGATGGGCTGTGATTGACCCTGTCTGTATCATGTGACTGCCTTGACCAGTCACAGCTAACAACATAATTGTATACAATGGATGGCATGACAGGAAGCCATCCATTGTATACAATCAACATGTGATCTGCTGTGATTGGTCACAGTGGTCACATGATACTGGCAACGGACCAGTGTAGTGATATGTCATCGGCTGTGTCCCGTGGACACGGTGACAGATCGTGCCGCTGCGCGGTTCATTTTGACAGGACGTTGTATGATGCCCAGTCACAATGGCGAGCAGGGGCGGACTGACAACTCATGGGGCCCCCGGGCAATAGGGGATCATGGGGTCCCTGAGTCCTTGCCCAAACTCAAAAAAGCCTATGAAAAAGGTACCAGGGGCATCTCATGGGGCCCCCTACTGACCCCGGGCTCTCAGGAAGTGCCCGAGTTTCCAAATGGTCAGTCCGCCCCTGACGGTGAGTGTCCCGATTGGCCATCAATCTGCTGTAGGGTGGGCAGGAAGGTGTTAAGACACTAACTACATCTGAGCCTCTATCATGGATCAGCAGACAATTCCTTTAAGATATGCAATTGAACGGTTTAAATAGAGGAAAATAACACCAGTATGCACAAGCTCTAGCTTTCATTAAAAGGTTTTTTGTGTAATATCCTGGCTGTATTGCCTCTATTCATGCTAAGGCCTCATGCACACTGGGCATTTTTACAGCTGCGGTTTTCGGTGTCATGTGTTTTTTTCTACAGCCAGCAAACTCCCCAGCATGTTATCCTATGGGGTTGATTTACTAAAGGTGAATAGACTGTGCACTTTGCAAAATGCAGTTGCACTCTGCAAGAGCAGTTGTTCCACATCTTAGTAAATGTGTTAAAGCTTCACTTTGCAAATAATACTCAATCACATGCGAGGACAATAGAAAAAAAACAACATTTTTGCTTGCACATGATTGGATGATGGAAGTCAGCAGAGCTTCTGCTCATTTACTACACTTTGGAGCAGCTGCTCTTTGCAAAGTGCACAGTTTATTTGCAATTAGTAAATCAACCCTTATGTGTCCATGCACACATAGGCTTTTATCAGCGTTTTTTGGCAGGGGAATTTTCAGGATTTAATAAACCCAGAACTACCATGTTTCAAAAAGAGTTTTTCAGCTGTAAAAATGCTCTAACTGTTGAATGTGGTAAAACGTGGCAAAACATGGCTAGGAACGTTTTTGAAACTCACCCTTTTTTTTTTTTAAAGCAATGGACACTGGCAATTTTCATTATACAGTAAATTCCTACATTTCCCAGTATGCTTTGCTGCTCTTGCTTCCATTGTCTGACCTGTGCTGTGTGGCTCCATGCAGATGAAACATGAACATTTTTTCATCTGAGTGTAGCGCATGTATGCATTTAGCATGGCCAACTGTATATCTGCGCTCCACACAGAAGAAACAGCTCTCAAAATTGGCGACTAAACAACTACACAATGACTATTCAGGGTTGCATTGTATGAAAGTGGGAGTTAAAAAAGGCGGTGGTGTGTTTTTTTGCTAAAGAAAACTAACGCAGCAAAATGCATATGAAAAAACACAGTAAAACTTGTGTTTTTAATGCAGCTGTCTATAATTAACACTAATGGTGTTCTTATAACATCCTATGCATGAGTTCTAAGGCTGGCCATAGACAGGCCTTTTATTGGCCGAATTGTCAGCCGATAAATGAAAAATCGGTTGTTGCTGCCATGGATGCTGCCACCAATGCTTATGAAAAACGTCCGTTTTTCGTAGATTTTCCAGCATGACCGATAAAAAGAAACGAGAAGATCTGCGAAAAACGGCTGACGGCATTGCCCCACTAACGGTGTGAATATCGGCTGATTTTTTTCGGTCGGACAAAAATTCGGCCAATAAACGACCCGTCTATGGCCTGCATAAGAGAGCGAGGTACTGCAGAGAAGGATAGACCTCTCTTTGTAGAGGGCTTCGTGCCTTGTTTGGACACCAGAGAACTAAAGATAAGTCTATTGTCCTATGCTAGGGACTTCAACAAAGTTGAACAATAACTGAAAACTGCATACAGACTGCAAAATTGGAAAGCAGTACAAGCCAAAAAAATGGAATAATATTATCCAATCTGTAACGCTTACTCTACCAGAAAGAAATGCCAGTATAAGGCTGCATTCACACCTATGTGCTTTCTATAAATCAATGAAATGTTTGCACTGTTTTGGATGGTATGGATAAGAAATCACAGGTTTCGCATATGACATCCAAACATAGTGTTATAAGACCTGCAGATGTTTTAAATGGGGATTTATAAAAGACACAAAACTTGGCAATATTTCTGTATCTCTACGGTAATGTTTTTGACACTGATAGTTCTATGTTGGGTGAAATATACCTGGTTTTTCACCTATAAAATAAAAACAGGTTGGAATAAGAAATCAATGGAAATGCATCAACATGTCAGGAAGCATTGCAATGGATGTCATGTTGTGCATCCATGCACATTGATGTGCAATGTAAAGTGCATGGTAATGTGAGGCAAAATGCGATTTCAATTGTTTCTATTGATTAAAGTGTTACTAAACCCAGGGCCCTGCATTCACTATATCTAGTCTCCCACAGTACACACAACATGGAAATGCAATTATTTTAGTAAATATAAACTGCTAAATACCTTTTCTCATCAGCAGTTAGAAGTCTTGTGACTTCAGCAGAGCACTGGTTAAGCTTGTAGGAGTTTTCTTTCTGCTCTAGGAGTATGCAAAACCCCTGACCTCTGTCTGGACAATGCTGATTGGCCATATTCTGATCACATGCACTCTCCCAGAGAAAAAAAAAATCTAGCAACACACTAAACTGAGCATGTGCATGTGACTACGGGTTCAGTCCAGGGGCGGACTGACAACTCATGGGGCCCCCGGGCAATAGGGGATCATGGGGCCCCTGTGTCCTTGCCCAAACTCAAAAAAGCCTGTGAAAAAGGTACCAGGGGCATCTCATGGGGCCCCCTACTGACCCCGGGCCCTTGGGTAGTGCCCGAGTTTCCAAATGGTCAGTCCGCCCCTGGTTCAGTCTGTCTTATCAGGTGGACATTTGAACAAGAGGAGGGGCAGAGAAAACAGGACCTTTTACACAATGCAGAGGTTCCACAGTGAGTATAACAAGCATGCTTTACTGCAAATACAGACTAATTTTACTGTTGTGGGTTTAGTGACACTCTAACTGCAAAATATATCAGACAAAAAATGCAGCAAAACACGAGCTGTGAATGGAATGTACAAAAATATACCTGTGACTGGAAGTAGGTTTCCTGTGGGGTGGACAGGACATCAGCAGAGGCAATATCTAAATGCAGTAAAATTTGCCGGAAAGAGGGTCGGTTTCTTGGCTTGCTGTTCCTGTTTAAGGTAGAAGATAGTCTATAATGAATCAAGAGTAATATATTATAGACCTAAAGCCCCACTCAGAATTTAAAAACAATTACCCTTTGTAGTGGGGCCTCCCCACAGTGCAAGGGTTGAAGCTTGTTAAGTCTAGGGGTTGAGGAATAAGCTGTAATACTTACCTGATTCCTCGCTTTGGCTGGATTTCACTACACCATGCGACTGGCCCCCCAAAACCGCGCTCTGTCCTACAGTCACGCCATGATGTCATCACATACAATGCAGGATCCCTGCACTGTAAGTGAAGACAGTGAGTGCCTGCCCACAACCCAGAGCATCAGAGAGAAGAGGAGAGTACTGGGAGCCTCTGAGGAATAAAATTAGCATTTCATCTTATTCCCCCACACCTAGACCTGACGAGCAATTACCTTTGAGGTGCGAGGGTCCAACCTCAAGGGGTATTTAATTTTTTTAATTTTCTTCAGCTTTAGGACAACAAAATTACTTTATAATTTGTTGTCAAGATGAAAACAACAGTTCTTCAATGACTCGCAATAAATGTAAGGACAAGGTTTTTTTTTTGTGAACTAAAGGGTCCGTGCACCCAAAATTGATACTTTAATTTTGTTTTTTTTTGGCAGATGGCAGAGAGTTAAACCTCCTGACTATTTATTATATCTCTCAGGAAGCCTATGGGTTAGATATCTGAGCTTGAGACCCAGGGTCTGCATAGATTCTGTGGCGATTAGGATGGGTTCCAATTCTCCCTCATATTTGTTATTTTATTTTATATTAGAGACAATACAATGATAGGATGTGGAATATGCAAAAGTGGGCAAGTATGTTCAAGAGTCCCAAGTGGACAGGACTGGATTTTGGAATTATGGAAAGAAGATCTTGCTTTTGGAGTACATATAAGAAGCCAGGGAATGATTCAGCCCACCAGGTTCCACATACCTGTATAACCAAAACATCACTTTTTTGTGGATTGATCTAAGATGTATCATAAATGCACAATACTGTATCTTGGTTACAGGGTCTTAAAACAGAACGTATCCTGAACATCTCATTCCTATCATAAATAACCAAAAAACAAATAAGGGGTTTATTTCTCATTTCATGACAGTGGGTGAAGCAATGCAGAGTCATCTGTGTGTCCAGAAACACTGTTTTACAGACGGACTTTATAGAAATGTTTATTCTAAATACCAGCACTTCTGAATGCAGAAAAAAAGGAAAAGGAATTGTATTTCCACCCTCTGTCTATGATGAGCAAGAACATCCTTATGTCACCTATCTGAACCTTGTGAAAAAGCGGGCTCACTTATGCACTAAGGGTTCCTGCACATATTTGCGGGTATATGGATGTACAGTGTAAAATACACCTGTATTTGTGTTGCCTGGTAACCCCAGCTGTAGTCTAAATAGGAATGAATCACAAAAATATGTTGTACACAGGTATATATGAAACGTGTGCATTTGGAAAAAAAAAAAAACACTAATATGAAAGCTGTAAAAACAGTAGTAGCTCTGTTTATGCAAGCACTCATATGGACATATTTTTCTGCATACGGAGTATTCTGTAGCTCTTTTAGCTCCAACTAGTACATAGCAACAATTTATTCTTGGAAGACCATGTGAACAATGAGGGACTTTTATTATAGTCAAGTTCGGGAATGCCAACTCTACCATACTGACCAGCACTGTCTCAGGAGAAGCTTGAATCCATCGGGGCAGCTTGATGGTACAGGAAGATGGAGGCTATTGCTGCCCACACCCCATATGATAGCTGAGGAATCCACATCTTTGTAAGGAATCTCCCCTGTCAGAAGCTCCCACAGGACAACTCCAAATGACCTGATCAACAAAACAGAATTAAATACAAATGACACCATGCCTGATGTAATGGTACACTGCTTAAACACATTCATTTAATGGTTACTACAGAAAAAAATTAAAGCAGAACTCTGGGAAAAACATAATTACATGTCCTTGTTGCTAAATATGTCATCCATCTTCTGGTTCACTCAGTAGTTGCTCTGAAATAGCTTATTCATTTTCAAATTAAACCGTTAATTCTCTTTGGTTTCCTGTTTGTAAGACCAGTGGCTGCTATGCCTCCTATTCCCCCAGCCACTGGTCTTGGCACATCCCTTCTGTAGTTCTTTCTCCAGGAAGCAGTAATGTAATTCAGTCCCACTTGCAGTGGTGGGCGGACTGAAACTCTCAGACACATTCAACATGTACAGGCCTAGTGTACCCGCCTACATTCACTACTATTTCTTTGTAGTTGATGGGAACTGTAGTTTCCTTTCACTGCAGAGAGAGAGGAGGGGATATGATGTAATCCCTGCTGTTACACACCTCCTCCTTGGCAGAGCACTTGCTATTATCTTTTGAATTACAGAGATGAGGTCATGAAAATTCAAATAGACTTTTCTCCTAAATGGTAAGGATTTTCAAATTTGTATTAACTGTTTAGTGTTTTGTGTAGGGTTGTGAACTAATGGGTGATTTTTGCCTATCCTTCTTTAACAGGTAAGAAACAAGTTGAGTACCCTGTAGAAGTATCATCACTCTTAAGGGTCCATGCACATTGGGCTTAAAAATGTTAAAAAGGATGTTTAGAGGCGTATTTTCAGCTCAGAGTTTAGAGACAGAAAAAATCCTTCTGGTCTGAATTTTTGAGAGCAGTTTTCTGGCAGCCTGGAGCCTATCAACGTTTTTTCTGACAAAAGAACTGGTGTTTTTTAAAGCCCAATGTGCATGGACCCTTATGTTATAATTTGGAAGAAGTTGACTGTCTGCATTTACTTTTCTTACACTTCAGATGTTTAACTCAATATCTTTGGACCTCTTCAGTATTTTTAAGGACTAGCTGTAAAATTGGTCTACGTGTACAAATTTTCCAGGACTAATTTACTCTGTGGACTTGATATGTACTCCTACTTTTTGTAAATATACAACCAATGTGCGCAGTTTTGATCTTCCTACTGCATATAGCTGCAAAGACAAAATTCCAGTAAACAAAAAGAAAGGCAAGTAAAGCACAGATCAAAACCTAAGGCTGGTCTGAGACATAAGAGGACAGCTGTCCATGTAGGTATGATCTGATGACATTGCTGCATTCACACCTGAGCAGAGCAATTTGTAGGCATTTCTATTTAAGCATTATTTTTGCATGCATATATGAGCTTTCCAGAAGTGCATTTCAAGTGTTTTACATGTGTATTCAAGCTTCAGATGCTTTTGTTTTAGTTAACAGAAAGCACTTTGGGGAGGAGACCAGTTCTTACATGTTTACAAGTATTTTATGTTAAAGTCTATGGAGCCATAAATGCTCACATCTGCCTCAAACAAAGCTCATGTGGCTTTTGGAGCATTAGGCGTCAAGCTACAGGTGAGCACTCATAAGTGAACGGTCACTATTTAAGTACAAGGGATTTTGCTTTTTGAAAGTTTTGGAATTTTAAACTTCACACTATAAAATACTATAAAAGTTGTGAATAGGGCCTAAGGCATTTCTTTTAGTGACACTAATGGTGGTTAAAACAAGACCACAGGTTGCAGGAAAGAAAATTGCTTGATTTCCCCATCAACACACTAAGTGTTGATGGGGTAAAATCTCTCCCACTATGCTATTGTGTTCTGCTGGCAGGGAGCCTTTCCCGCCAGTAGAACACAATGATCACTGCTGACTGCTTTAGCCACTGACAATGATTGAAAGAAAAAAAACCAACAGGCTGGTTGATGGATCAACTTCAGTACAACCAGCCTGCCCGTATATGTGTCGAATCACGGCTGGTCCCTGCTGAACCGGCCTAGATTCAATCTATCAATGGCCAGCTTAACATTTAATGCATGTGAGCATTCCTATTTCTATCCAAGCAGTGTGGAGGGGAAGTGTGGAGCAATGGAGGCGCAGGCAGGCAGTACTGAAATTGTTTACCTAGATATGTGCAAAAGTAGAGAGAGGTATAACAATGATTGGAAGAAGTCTTTAAACCGATAGGATCAGTTTTTGTTCCCCTTGAGAGCAGTAGGCTGCCACAATAGACATGAGATTATTACACCTGTCATCTCATGTTTGTGGTCAGCTGTTAGATCAAAAAGAGACCATTATACTACCACCTATCATTGTACACCATGAAGGGAATGGCTCGGAGTGTTGATCTGGAAAAATAAATTGTCTATGATATCACCAGCACTAGAGGTCACAGAAAAAACCCTTGTGGAACAGCCAGTCTCTTACTGTGACTCATTATTCATTAGGATAACAAATATGTACAAAATGACTACACTCACACTTATGGAAGGTCAAGAGGACGTATCTCATGGGGACCAGTGAAGATACAGCTAGTGTACGGGGGCCCATCATTATTAGCCTGGGCCTTTACCCATAAGTCCTCACTTGAAACAGGATTAGCCATGGTAGTACTGTCTAAACTGGTTTCTTTTACAAAAACAGAGGTTTAACAAAATAATAATCAAATTATACAAGAAAAATATATATTTATTTGACTTTCTGAATTTTTAGATATGTTTTTTTACTTTAGAAGCGTTTTATCATGCTCCTTTAAATGCACCAAGATACATTTGATACTAATATCAGAAAATCTGAATGCTCTGGCATAGCATAGCATAGCAAGTGAAGCCAAAATGGATTTGTGAAAACCACACGTAAGTATTTAATACTCACAACATAAAATCATTTCAGAGCCCTTGACAATTGTTAACTGGAAGCCTTGTTGCTTGATATAGTATGGAGATATCTTTTTAATTTGTTTGCATGGTATGGATCAATCTGGTATCCTTACAAATTCTCAGGCCAGTGGTTTTCTGGTGATTAACTAAGGATTTTATGTTAGTGAGCCATTGTTGTACTGAAACGTTTTTGACCTCATTGTACTATGCCAGGGTGCTCTGGTGTTCTTGTTGATGTTCCCAGTGTACTTTGTGAGCTTTCAAGTATTTGCAAGTTAGAAATCAATTTGATCAACTAAAAGAGTTGCCTTGTTTTTCAAATTATCAAGCGCCATATAAAAAATTTGAAATATTAATAGTTTTCTACCATCATTTTTCCTTCCTGGTCACCACTTCTTATTCACACCTTGAGGACTTCTGTCCTATGGCTCCCTTTTTTGGAAATCCCAGTGAGTATTTACCAATTTTTTATGTCTTAAACTCAATGGGCCTCAAAGCTTGCTTAAACTGATTTCAATGACTAGTAACAAAATTTCAGCTTATTCAATAAAGCAGTGCAAACAGCATTGATAATGTATTTTATAGCAACTAATCAGGTTTCCGGTTCCCATGGTAAGATCAGTTAACAGATGCTTTCTCCTGGGTGGTTATAGATTACTGCCCTTTACAGATTTTAACTGTCCTCTACACTGTCTCATCTAATAAGCCTGAATCAGTTCTATCAATGCAGATGAAGCAAAAAAGGTTACTGTAGATGGGTGATAGTAAAATGTTGTTGCAATATGATTTGAGTATTTTACTTTATTAAAATGCTCTTTAATCTCATACATATTGTGTTAATATAGTGCAGACCTGAACAGTTGCACCTTGCCTTCAGTAATTACTATTCCAGTACTACAAAAAGAAACCTTAATGATTGCAGCGCAGTATCTTCTAAGTGCCTCTAGGTGGTGCTAGGTGATTTGCAGTGCATTCATCACTATTCTACAAATAGAAAAAAAAGTTTTCCAATGATTCCAATACAACACAGGGGGAAGGCAAAGGCTTCAATTATTATTATTATTATTATTATTATTATACAGTATTTATTAAGTGCCAATTGTTCGCTCAGCGCTGTACATTACAAAGGGGGACAGAACATGTGACAGAACAATACCAATACAATGCAAAACATGAGGGGATCGAGGGCCCTGCTCTTTCGAGCTTACAATCTAGGAATCAATGGAATCTGCTTTACATTTACAGACCTTGTGCAAGCTGGAAGATGGTTTTGGAAAGCACGATGTAATATACCATTCAGTTAAATATTTCAGGTAGAACTCACAAACATTAGAGGCATTTTTTTTGAGCCAATATTAGAGCAGTCTACAAATTCACAAGAAATTAGTGACAGGGGACACAGGGCCTTATTCAATAAAGAGATCTCATCCGTGGAAAATGGAGATAGAAATATGGAAACTACAGGGTGCGAGGCTGCCATCTGATTCCTAGTAAGTCACTGACCCCACATAAGTATGCAGAACAGAGTTCTCACTTTTCAGACTTCACTGGCTGCATGTTTGTTCCAGGTCAGTGATTCACTAGGCAGTAAATCCAGAATAAGAATTACATCTGGACTCTGTACATTTAACAAAATGAATCAGGAATGGCTGCTTCCACATTTCTCTGCTTATGGATTCTATTGCAATAACCAATAGCATTAAACTGGAATACGTTTCTTGGTCTGACTTTAGAGAGTTCTGATTTGTGATACAGCACTTACAGGAACTCTCACTTCAACAAGGCCATCTGTGTGCCACATGCAGTTATTCTTTGGTATTAGCTACCTGTATCCATTTCACTTAAAGCTGAACTCCAGGCAAAAAGCTAAATATACAGTTTAACCATTTGCCTTCCAGAGAATTTACCCCCCCCCCCCCCCTTCCTGACCAGGCAATTTTTTGCGATACAGAGCTGCATTATTTTAACTGACACACCCAAATGAAATGCAATTTACATCCTTTTTTTCCCACACGTAAAGCTTTCTTTCAGTTGTATTTGATTGCCTCTGCATTTTTTATTTTTTGCGCTATAAACAAAAAAAGACCGACAATTTCGAAAAAAAAAACCCCCACTATTTTTGACTTTTTTGCAATGTCCAGTAAAAAAATTAA